AGGACGGCTCTCCCGGCCGGGCCGCGGCCACCGGAGGCCTTCCCCGTGGATATGACAAAGTCTCGGACCTCCAGGGGTGGGACCGGGTGGTGGGGCGAATTCAGGCCGAGGAAGGGCTCTCCCGGCCCGGCCACGGCCACCGGAGGCCTCCCCCCCTGGATCTGACAAAGTGTCGGGCCTCCAGGGGTGGGACCGGGTGGTGGGGCGAATTCAGGCCGGGGAGGGCTCGCCCGGCCCGGCCGCAGCCACCGGAGGCTCCCCCCCTGGATCTGACAAAGTGTCGGACCTCCAGGGGTGGGACCGGGGGGTCGGCCGAATTCAGGCCGGGGAGGGCTCGCCCTGCCCGGCCGAAGCCACCGGAGGCTCCCCCCCTGGATCTGACAAAGTGTCGGACCTCCAGGGGTGGGACCGGGGGGTCGGCCGAATTCAGGCCGGGGAGGGCTCGCCCTGCCCGGCCGAAGCCACCGGAGGCTCCCCCCCTGGATCTGACAAAGTGTCGGACCTCCAGGGGTGGGACCGGGGGGTCGGCCGAATTCAGGCCGGGGAGGGCTCGCCCTGCCCGGCCGAAGCCAACGGAGGCTCCCCCCCCCCCTGGATCTGACAAAGTGTCGGACCTCCAGGGGTGGGACCGGGGGGTCGGCCGAATTCAGGCCGGGGAGGGCTCGCCCTGCCCGGCCGAAGCCAACGGAGGCTCCCCCCCCTGGATCTGACAAAGTGTCGGACCTCCAGGGGTGGGACCGGGGGGTCGGCCGAATTCAGGCCGGGGAGGGCTCGCCCTGCCCGGCCGAAGCCACCGGAGGCTCCCCCCCCTGGATCTGACAAAGTGTCGGACCTCCGTGGGTGGGACCGGGGGGTCGGCCGAATTCAACCCGAAAAGGGCTCTCCCGGCCGGGCCGCGGCCGCCGGAGGCTCCCCCCGTGAATTTGACAAAGTGTTGGACCTCCGGGAGGGGGACCGGGCGGTGAGCAAAATGTGTCCGGGAAAGGGCCACTTTAGCCCTGCCTTAATCGGCGCAGCGACCCGCTGTCCCATACGACCGAGCCTTGGACCTCCGTGGGGGCGGTGGGACCGGGGGGTCGGCCGAATTCACACCGAGAAGGGCTCTCCCGGCCGGGCCGCGGCCGCCGGAGGCTCCCCCCGTGAATTTGACAAAGTGTTGGACCTCCGGGAGGGGGACCGGGCGGTGAGCAAAATGTGTCCGGGAAAGGGCCACTTTAGCCCTGCCTTAATCGGCGCAGCGACCCGCTGTCCCATGCGACCGAGCCTTGGACCTCCGTGGGGGCGGTGGGACCGGGGGGTCGGCCGAATTCACACCGAGAAGGGCTCTCCCGGCCGGGCCGCGGCCGCCGGAGGCTCCCCCCGTGAATTTGACAAAGTGTTGGACCTCCGGGAGGGGGACCGGGCGGTGCGCAAAATGTGTCCGGGAAAGGGCCACTTTAGCCCTGCCTTAATCGGCGCAGCGACCCGCTGTCCCATACGACCGAGCCTTGGACCTCCGTGGGGGCGGGGGGACCGGGATTTGGGCCGAAATACCCCCTGGGAGGTACCCTCCCGGCCGTGCCGCAGCCGCCGGAGGCTTCCCCCGTGAATATGACAGAGTGTTGGACCTCCAGGAGGGGGGCCGGGTGGTGAGCAAAATGTGTCCGGGAAAGGGCCACTTTAGCTCGGCCTTGATCGGCGCAGCGACCCGCTGTCCCTTTCACCCTAGCTCAAGGCTAGTGGCAGCTAGCCCATAGTAATCCGGCGACTAGAGCCTACGTTTGGCGCTTTTGGGTACACGGACCGGCGCCCCTGGTAAGGTGACGGGACTTTGGCTCTGCAGAGGAGGGATTTCTCTTTGGGTTCTTTAATTTTTCCTCTTCCTCTCTTCTTCTGCTACTCCTTTCTCATCTCATCATCTCCTCATCCACCGGATCTCCACCGCGGTCTCCGGGCTCTCCATGCCCGGCCACCGGGCTCTCTTCCCCGGGCTCCAGGCTCTCCATCCCCGGCCCTCCGGAGCTCCACCCCGGCCTCCGGGCTCTCCACGCCCGCCCTCCAGCTCTCTTCCCCGGGCTCCGGGCTCTCCACGCCCGCCCTCCACATCACTTCCCCGGGCTCCGGGCTGTCCATCCCCGGCCCTCCGGAGCTCCACCCCGGCCTCCGGGCTCTCCACGCCCGCCCTCCACATCACTTCCCCGGGCGCCGGGCTGTCCATCCCCGGCCCTCCGGATCTCCACCGCGGTCTCCGTGCTCTCCATGCCCGGCCTCCGCGCTCTCTTCCCGGGGCTCCAGGCTCTCCATGCCCGCCCTCCACATCACTTACCCGGGCTCCGGGCTCTCCACCCCCGGCCCTCCGGAGCTCCATGCCCGGCCTCCGGGCTCTCTTCCCCGGGCTCCGGCCTCTCCATGCCCGGCCCTCCGGAGCTCCTCCCCGGGCTCCAGACTCTCCATGCCCGCCCTCCACCTCTCTTCCCCGGGCTCCGGGCTGTCCATCCCGGGCCCTCCGGAGCTCCATCCC